TTATTACTAACATCATCGATGTTATTATAATCTGATTATCACGTATTTCTTGCAACGTTGTTTTTGTTATTTTTAATATTAGTTATGTCGTTATTATCACCGTCGCGGACAATGGCACCAACATGCATACTGTTTTACTCATATTCATATTATTATTGTTGCTATTGTTGATTTTGTTATCATCATTGTCATGTATTGTTGTTTTTATTATTATTATTATTATTGTTATTATTATTATTATTATTATTATTGTTATTATTATTATTATTATTATTTTTGTTATTATTAATATTATCATTATTATTATTATGGTTGTTATTCTTATTATTTTCATAATCATTATTTATTATTATCATTGTTTATTGTTTTCCGTCTAAATATCTGTTACTGTCAATTCTACCATAAGTAACCCAGTGTGATTTACAATTTTACAACCATCTTTACTCTCATTTTCATTTTTATTATCATGGTCAGTGTGATTAAGACTCATAATGGTTCCACATACTGGAAAGTGTGCGACGAAATCTTCCTGTGGTTATATAAGTGATAGATGGAATCATGGATTTCTTGTTGTTCTCATCATTTTTGAGTTTATATCTCATTAGTATCGTCTCTGATAAGGAATCCAGAAATGCATTCCTCATCGGAACTGCTTTTAAAATGCTTGAGATTCCACGCAGGCCTATCGTTAGAACTTTCACTTTTCCTTTTCTCAATGTATTTCACTGTCGATTTCAGTGTCACGTTGTTCCTTCTCCCGCCACTTCATTTCTTTTGTTTGTTTGTCTTTTGTTTGTTTGCTTATGCTGCTCTCCTTCGCTGTTGGTTTGCTTTATCTCTAATTTCTTTTCGGATTCTCTTTGTCTCTCTCACTCTCAAGCTCAAGCTCACTCACTCAACTCCCTTACTCTCTCACTCTCACTTACTCAACTCACTCACACTCACACTCACTCTTACTAATTCTCACTCACTCACTCACTCACTCTCTCTCTCTCTCTCTCTCTCTCTCTCTCTCTCTCTCTCTCTCTCTCTCTCTCTCTCTCTCTCTCTCTCTCTCTCTCTCTCTCTCTCTCTCTCTCATGAGAGTGATAGCAGTCTTCAATTAATTATTTTATTATTGTTGTTACTATCCTTAATGTTGTTGTTACTATGATTATTACTATGTTACTTTATTATTATTGGTGGTGGTGTTATTATTATTATTATTGTCAATATCAATAGTGGTATTTTATTTATATTTCATTACTATTATTACCATTAAAACTGCAGTTAGTTGGATCATTGCCGCGTGTAATAAGGAAGTTTGTAAAGTTGTTGGCAACACGCAGCCGATGTTAGTAGCAAGGTCAACCAAGATGAAACCACGCCCACTGAAGGAGACATCACGAAAACACTGAAATATTGTTTCTTTGTTTACCTTTTGTCTGTATTTGATTAATTTTGGTTGCTATTTTTGTGTGTGTGTTTGCAAATGACTGTGATTGCATACTTCCAAACTTCTTATTTATTTTCCTATTTCATCGATTAATGACTTAATTCAGTCGTTTTTAACTATTCTTGTTTTGCTTTATATCTATTCTGGTCATTGTCTTTATTATTACTGTTGAGATGGTATGGTGTCCGTAACGTGGCGAATGTTTCCCACGACAAAATCTCATACGGCGAATGAGTTGCAGGATGTGGGTGGACGGAAGTTCGTAATTGCTCGCCGTCCTTCAGGAATTAAGGCAGAAGCATCGTTCGTTTATGAAGGATATGGCGGTAATTGCGGACAGACAGACGGACACTCACACACACACGCACGCACGCACGCACGCACGCACACACACACACACACACACACACACACACACACACACACACACACACACACACACACACACACACACACACACACACACACACACACACACACACACACATACACATACGAAGAAGAATCAAACGATGGAACCGGATGCGATAAAAGGCGCGACACGGTGCTATTTATCAACAAGGAGCAAAACATGTAAGCAAAAGTATGTTAGTGCTTAGATAAATCATCGCATGAATGGCAATCGTCCTTAAATTATTCAGTGGGAAGAAAAGAAAAAAAATATATAGAGAGAGAAATTTAAAAATGGAATGGCTTGGTGCAGGCAAATCGGACAAGAGCAAACTCACTTTTAAGAAATACATCCGGTCTGAGAATATAACACGGGGTAGAGGGGGGGGGGGTAACCATCTCCTCCTCCTGTTACCCCGTGTCTATAGCACCGTGTCCTCTGTCTCCAGTGTTATGTGAAAAGTTGGTAGACCTCTAGAAAAGATGTGTGTGTGAATACATCCCCATAAACCTTCTGCATTGTATAAAGCAGTGTTTTGCGTATTGAGTGATGAGCGCAAGGCCTGTACAGAATCTGCTGATTTTGTACGACTGATGGTTCTTGGGAGTCTTTATATATCTATGTCCTCCAGATTTTAAAACCGCTGTTATGAGATAGCGTTTTGAATTATTTTC